AATTTATTTTGAATAATTAATTCAATAATTTAATTCAATTACTTTTTCAAAACTGAAAGGTGAATTTTTTTTTTTCTTTAGATAATTTATTTTATTTTTGAATTCATTTTATTTAAATTAAAAACTCAGATTTTATTTTATTAGATATTTTATTCAAATTTAGATTTTATTTTATTTAGACAATATTTACTTATTAATATTTATTTTTTTTTTAGATAATATTTATTTTATCCGGAAGAATCCAAATTGTCCAAAAAGTGTGCAAGAATTTTTTCTCATCGAGCCACTCGTAAATCAGAACCCACTCGATAATTCTCGATCTTCGTCTTAACGATACTAAACGAAGGCATGTTAATTTGGAACGTCATACACGAACGTTGTAATTGGCTGGTCATACTCTGCAGAGACGAAGAAGGACTAAGTGGAGGCCTAATGCATCATTTCCAAATTACACGTTTATCCCCCGTTGCATTTGCAGGTCCGAGTCCGGGAGCAATTACCATGCCGGGCATCGAAGGAACGAAAGCATGTATGCTATGACCGGGCTGTACGCGGAGAGCGCGAATACAGGAACCGATGAAACCACAGACCCATTGCAGGCGACTGGCAGCAGACTGACTCACGACACCGTCATCAGATGTCACAGTAGAAATCCCAGTTCTGGCCTCGTGGACCATAGGTATGGATGATTGAAAGAAGAAAGTAGGGAGGAAAGAGAGGAAAAATTGATTTGCAAATGGAAAGGAAAAAAATTTAACTCACAGGGAAAGAATTAACTTGGCTTACAGGTGATCTGAGATTGTAGACAGAGAGAAAGAAAAATTGTAAAAGTAATATTTGTCGGTTCTTTTGTATGTACAATATGAAATTTAAACTGACAATGAGCTTCAGTCATTTGATTTTCTTTTTTTTTTTTTTTTGTGGTGCACGTGTAACTGATAACTTTGAATTGATTTTCTTTTTACAGTTTCAGTGCTCTTGATTTTTTTATCAATTTTACTGCAGATTGCCTCAGGCAATCCTATTCATACATCCAAAGTATTAGAAAAGATTTTAAAAACTGTGACTGTAGTTGTTGCTTTTCTTTTTATAAATTTTGCGTCATGTTGCAATTAGCATTGTCTATTATTCTATTGTCTGTATACACTTTAATGGATTTCTGACAACAGTTTCTTAAAATATTAATTTAACGAAACATATACAAGTGATATACAATAATGGAATAGATTATCAGAAACGATATGAAAAATAGAACATTAAAAAGCTGACTGTGAGAATGTTATGAGTTACAGTGTTCCTCTTTATTCCATCTGTGAATTTACACAAAGAAATGGCTTCTAAACGCTGATGAAAATTGTAAGGTGTAACCATCAAAATATCGTGAAAAGTGAAAGCACCAAACTGACCATGGCACAATTATTCGTGAAATAGATTCTTTTGCAACTATGTCACACATGTGTCATAGACACGTTTACATGAGGTTGATTAAGAGATAAATATACATCAAAGCAATTTAGTACTTGATTCGTTTAAAATTCAAGTGTTCCATTATTCATTGCCAAATATACCAAATGTTCAAGTATATTTTATATGAAAGCTACCAACTTCTTGAAACAATTTTTATTCAAATGAATTTATGAGAATACATACAGAACCAAAAATATCCTACTTGTACAATTTTGTAGTAATTTTCATTTTGCACAATAATTTATTAAAGTTAAAATATTTAGTTCACTTCCAACATACAGTGATCAAAATCAAACAAAGTGAAAGATTTTTATGTCGGTTTTGATCTTGACTCATATGCACGCAATCATAGTGCATCTCACATTCATAGCACAGTTTTATTCATACTTCCTGTCTCTTCTTTTTACACTTTTTCAGAGATTTTATCATCAAATGTCACAGCAGGAATCCCAGTGCTTCCATGGTGGA